GCATGAAAGCCAACTGGGTGACTTTGAGCCAATCACCAGGAGACAATGAATTCTAGAACCACCTTAGCCATGAAAGCAAGCTGGATGATTTTGGTCCAGAATCTTTATACATAATCTGTTGCCATTGTTCCCCTCTTTGCATGCAGTACATCTCAGTAGGGTGCAAAGCTGTATTTTTTAAAAAAAATGCAAAGAAAAGAAATACACCAATTGTATCATAATAGGGCAGCCTGGGACGATCTGTTTCCCATGGTAAGACAATGGCTGAGTTCCCACAACCTACCGAATCACACAAACAATGCACTTTAGTTTAGTCTGGCTTGTTGTGAGATTCCAACGGATCTTTAGCAATTTCCTATTTTCGATGCGGCCACCGTTGCCTGCTACAAACAGATGTATTGTTCCTGACACAGTTGGACAGTAATTTGGGGTCTTAAAACCAAAAGCAGAGGAAACACCATTAATATTTTGCTTCCTTGTGCAATGCTTGTTTGAAATTGTCCCAAGCTGACTCTAAACTTTGTCCCGTCCCATGAAACGGATTTGGGAGGTGGAAATTCATCAGCGTTTCCTTTCCGTCCACTGCTTGAGGCCAGGCCAAACTTTTACTCAACTCTGCGGATGGAACAAGTCAATAGCTCCACCAGCTCTGCCGTTCCCATATCAGGGTTACCTTACCTGAGTGCTTATGATCTGAAACTAATCTAAGGATATCGCCAGGCTGCCCATCGATATTGAAGCAGATTGTCAGCTTGTTCTGTGGCAAATCAATGACAAAATGAGGGTCGCCATCCGCTGGAGAGAGAATTGAAAACAAAACAAGAAGGGAAACATTAATGAAGGGTCCTTGGTCCTCTCTGAGGTAGCTTGCTTTCTTGCAGGCATTTCATGACCCAACTAGGTAACATCATCAGTGCTTAATAAGGAGTGCTATTTGCTGTCAGTTTATATTCTGGTGTCCTGTCTATGTGGGTGGGTGGGTGTCTAGAGATGCTTTGATTGGGCTGTTTACTGATGGGTCTTTGGCCGTTTCTTGACCGGGTTATTGTTTACTTTTTAGTCTATTAGCAAAGAGGCACTGGTGGCAGGCTATTCACACTAGGAAAGGGGCAAAGGCAGCAGGCCATTTGCACCAGTAAGGTAAGCTCACCAGGTAGGCAGGGAGCTGGGCTGCATGGGAGGCAGCAGAGAATGGCGAAGGAAGACTCAGCACTTGGGAGCGCTTGGACCGCTTGGGAGGCTGGGGCAAAGGCAGGCAAGCGGGCTGGGCTGTGTGGGCTGCGTGATTGAGGCAAACGTGCTAGCGAGGGAGGGAGCCAGAGAGCAGCAGCTGCTATCTCACAGCCAAGGTAGGTGAGGTGAGATAAGGAGTGGCTGGAACTTCTGGAAGGGGCAGGGCGAGGGGGGGGGAATTTGGGGGCCAGCCAGTGGTAGGATTAGCTGGTTCTCCGAACTGCACAAAAAGTTAACAACCGGTTTGCGTGAACCGGTGTGAACCAGCTGAATCCCACTTCTGTGCTAATGGCTAAATAGCCATTAGCAAACAGCCCAAGCAAAGAACCCCTAAGGCCATCCCCACCCACACGGACAGGCAAGATACCAGAATATAAACTGACAGCAAGCAGCACGCTGGTAGCACTGATGATGTACCTAGTTAAGGTAATGAAACAGATAAAGACAAACAGATAAGGAAAGAAAAAGAAAGAAAGAGAAAGGAAGGAAGGAAGGAAGAAGGAAAAAAAGAGGAAGGAAGGAAGGAGAGGAAAGAGGAAAGAAAGGAAAGAAAGGAAAGAAAGAACAAAAGAAAGAAAGAAAGAAAGAAAGAAAGAAAGAAAGAAAGAAAGAAAGAAAGAAAGAAAGAAAGAAAGAAAGAAAGAAAGAATGTTTTGCTTAGCAAAGTTAGAAGATTTTTTCAACTATTACCATCTGGCAGGCGGTACAGAATAATAAAAACAAGGACAAATAGGCTGAAAAACAGCTTCTATCCCAGGGCAGTAGCTCTTTTGAATTCTGCTGTATAGTGCAGCGTTGGTGTGGTGTTGGGGGTTTCCGGTTCAATGTGTGAAGGGTGAAGGATGTGTGTTTGTATTTATTTTCATATTCATGGTCGTGATGTGCACTGAAGATGGTGTTTGATTTCGTTGTATGAGGTGCAATGACAATAAAGTAAAGTAAAGTAAAGTAAAGACCAATGCGGCCAAACCCTCGTATTTTTGACCACTTACCTGAAGTTTTAGTTACATTTATTTTTGGCTCCTCTGATTTTTCAGGAATAGAGCCTGAAATAAGAGGAGGAGAAATGAGATTACACAAAACCACACGGGCACATATAGCCCAGCTCCCTCCCCAGACCAAAGCACTATGCTATTATGCCCACCGCCAGAGAAGATCCATGACCAGGAGTGGGATTCAGCCAGTCCGGGTTGGTTCAGGCAAACCGGATGTTAAATTTACATCTGGTTCACTGAACCAGTAGTTGAACCAACTGGCTGGCCTGCCCACCCCTCCCCTCCCAGGGGTCTCCATTCAGCCCATTTTGGATGCAGGTAAGTGCAGGGTCTGTGCAGAGGCTCTGGGAGGGCAAAAAAATGGCCCTCCTGGAAGTTTCCAGAACTTCTGAGACAGCCATTTTTTGCCCTCCCACATCCTTCACATGGACCCTGCACTTCGCTCGAACTGGCCTGAACCGGCTGAATCCCACCCCTGCCAAGGTCCCTTCCAGCTCCGTTCTCTATTCTTCCAACTCTGTTATTCTATCCTGTCTAAGGCAGGACCAGAACTCATTGTCTCCCAGTTTGTAGCTTGCTGTTGTCCTTACCTGAGGGCACTTGGTGGCCTTGAAGGCCCTGCACGATTTCTCCAATGCCTTCGGCTGAAGGGCCAGCGTAGACCTCCATTGGGGGCTCCACTTGAAATGGAAGGGTTTTCATCTTCAGGGTAGTGAAGGGCATGACAAAATTGTAAGCAAGAGCCAAGCTCTTGGCCCTTTCCCTCAGAGAGGCCTTCTCCTTGCTGTTGTCGCTCTTCAACCAGGAGGTCAACAGTTCCTTGATGGTGAGGTAACTCCAGGCCCGCTCGACATAGTTTTGATCGGCGGAGGAGTTCGGCAGGCCGACAAAACTCGCCTCGAGGAGGTTCTGCCCTGAAAGGTCGACGGCCACATCGGTTTTCAGGAGGACGTGCTTGTCACTGTTGCTGGCGGTCACTTCTACATGTAAGCTGTGGGCGGTCTTGTTGAAGAGTTTCCCCGCGATGACAATTTCAGAACCGTTGAAGTAGTTGGGGAAGAAATTCTGAGTCACTTTCTCCACGCTGCCCACGGGGTAATCGACCCGGATGTCCGACAGAAGCGGGGTACCGATCTCGTCGTAGAACCTGCACAAACATGTTGGGTTACTCTTACAACATGAGCGCAAGTTGCAAGGAAACCAACACAGAGGGAGTCCTCGACTTACGAGCATTCATTTAGCAACAGTTCGAAATTACAACAATACTGAAAAAAGTCACCAATGACCAGTTCTTACATCTAGGACAGGTAATCCTCAACTTATGACCATAATTGAGCCCATAATTTCTGTTGCTAAGCGAGACAGTTGTGAAGTGATTTCCACCCCCATTTTACAACCTTTCTTGCCACTGTTAAGTGAATTTTTGCAGTTGTTAAGTTAGTACAGGTAGTCCTCAACTTATGACCACAGTGGAGCCCAAATTTTCTGTTGTTGAAGTGAGACATTTGTTAAGTGAATTTTACCCCATTTTACGACCTTTCTTGCCACAGTTGTTAAGTGAATCACTGCAATTGATAAATTAATAGCCTGGTTTTTAGGTGAATCTGGTTTCCCCAATGACTTTAATTGTCAGAAGGTCGCAAAAGGGGATCGTGAGACCACGGGACGCAGCAACGGTCATAAGGCTTGGTAGGCATGGCTTCGTGGGTGTGGCAGGGGAAATAAAATCTCCATTCCTTCTGCACTCCAGGGGGAAGATTACTGCAAAATCCCCATTCCCTTCCCACCCCACTAACCTGCTTTCCAGCTCCGTTCTCCTGTGCAGGGCAACCAAAGAAGACCCAGCCAATCAGCTGGGACTCAAAGGGAGGCAGAGAATAGATGAGGGCGGGGCCAGTCAGAGGTGGAATTCTGAACTACTCAAAATTTCTGCTACTGGTTCTCCAAACTACTCAAAATTTCCGCTACCAGTTCTCCAGAACTGGTCAGAACCTCTGTTTTGATTTGATTTTGATTCATCCTACCTAGAGACACGGTTCTGTCCATTCCTTCATTCTCATAACCCCTACAAATTCTGGACAATGGTTTTAGGAACCCAGATTCAGGCAGAAGTTCCACATCTAATCCCTGAGATCACCAGGTAGTAGAGGAAAAATGCTACTTAAAAACTCTCCATAGTACCTCTCCTTCTAAGTTGTGGTTCATCTAACCATGGTTAGTTGGACAAATCACATATGGCTGGTCTGGTCCATTCAAAAACCAATCCTGGATTTCAAACCTCGGTGGGTGAATTTCCTCATTGGGCTCAGCCAAAGACCTCTCTAAAACTTGGTTTAGAAAAAAATGGGAATCCAGCCAATCTAAACCAACTTCCTTAGTTCCTTATCTGCCCTTTTCAAGATAACGTCAATTTCCTCTGATAGAGAGCTGGCCAATACAGCTGACTCAGAATGGAAGGACACTGCATTTAGCAGCTGGAATTGTGCCTGGCTGAGCCAAAAATAGCGATTAAAGTCACCGAGCTACAAACTGGGAGACAATGACTTCTAGTCCTGCCTTAGACAGGACAGAATGTGTGTGTGGTTGTCCAATCTCTCACAACTTCTGGAGACCAGCCGTTCCACCGTCAGGAAATTTCTCCTTATTTCAAGTTTGAATTTGTCTTTCATGATGTTCCATTCATGACTTTCTGTCTTGTCCTCAGGTGCTTTGGAGAAGAATGAGTCAATCTATTCTCCAAAGTACCTGAGGGCAGGACAAGAAGCAATAAGGATGGAAACTAATCAAGGAGAGAAGCAACCCAGAACTAAGGAGAAATTTCCTTAACAGTGAGAGCAATTAACCAGTGGAACAACTTGCCTCCAGAAGTTGTGAATGCTCCAACACTGGAGGTTTTTAAGGAGAGATTGGACAGCCATTTTGTCTGAAATGCTATAGGGCCGTGATGGCGCACCTATGGCACGCGTGCCACAGGTGGCACACAGAGCCATTTGTGTGGGCAAATTTACCTCACTGCGCATGTGCGTGCCTCCCATTGATTTTCGGCCTCTTTGATGCATTTTTTGGCCTCAAGGGAAGCCTCTGCAGTCTTTGGAGTCCGAAAACCAGGCCTGTTTCATCACTTCCTATATTTCTGGAAATACCGGAAGTGACAAAACGGGCCTATTTTTTTGCACACTGCAGGTAAGGGGGGGAATCGTGCGTGCATGAGCAGGGGCCATGGGGGTCCACGTGCATTGCCTTCTGGGAGCTAGCACGCGATTGCGCGTAAGGGAGCAATTTTTGGCACAGGAGCCCAAAAAGGTTAGCCACCACTGGTATAAAGTTTCCTGCTTGAGCAAGACGTTGAAAATCTCCAAGATCCATTCCAACTCGGTTATTTGGTTATTTTTCCCTATGGCAGATGCTCAAATATAGGAAGAATGCTATCAACTCATCCCCTTGTCGTCTTCTTTATTAGATTAGATATTTGGTAGACTTTGGGCCAACCTTGGGTCTTTCAAGCTTAGGAAGAAAAAATTTGATTTCCATGGAATTCCCAGATTTAGGACTGATTTGAAGGACTTTTATTGACAACAACAACAACAACAACCTGTAGGAGAATTTAAGTTGCATTACCAGAGGGATACAATCAAGATCAAGGGAGAGACTAATACCACTCTATAAAGGCTTATTAGTAAGACCACACCTAGAGTACTGCATCCAGTTTTGGCCACCACATTATAAAAAAGATGTGGAGACTCTAGAAAAAGTACAGAGAAGAGCAACCAGGATGATGAGGGGATTGGAGTCTAAAACATACAACGAATGGTTGCAGGAACTGGGCATCATGGCTAGTCTAGTGAAGAGAAGGACCAGGGGAGACAGGATAGCAGTCTTCCAATATTTGAGGGGCTGCCACAGAGTGGAGGAAGGGGTCAAGCTGTTTTCCAAAGCACCTGAAGGCCAGACAAGGAATAATGGATGGAAATTGACCAAGGAGAGATTCAACCTGGAAATAAGGAGAGAAACTTTCTGACAGTGAGAACAATCAACCCATGGAACAGAAGTTGCCTTTGGAAGTGGTGGGAGCGTCATCACTGGAGGCTTTCAAGAAGAGACTGGACTGCCATCTGTCAGAAATGGTGTAGGGCCTCCTGCATGGGCGGGGCGGTTGGACTAGATGCCCCACAAGGTCCCTTCCAACTCTGTTAATCTGTTGATTTAAGACAGAGCTTGGGGAAGCTATGAAGAAGCCATTAAAGGAGAGAAGGAAGGAAGAAGCCATCCGACTTGGGGAAGGCTGACACAGTCTAACAGAGATCCAGCACAAGAGATAGTAGGGAATATTTTTTCTCACCAACCCTTTAAAGTGAGCTGCAGCATCCTCATCCTCCCGGATCAACCTCATCATCCCACAGTTCTCCAGGGCCACCCTCTCCAGTAAGTGGTGGTCGACGTCATTTCCAATGCCGATAGTGAAGACGCAGAACCTGTTGCGAATGGCTTCCTTGAGGTTGCTGATGATCTTGCTCGTCCGGATCTCGCCCATTGTGGGCCGGCCATCGGTCAAGAACACCAGGAGGGACGTGCTTCGCGATTCCACTTCGTTCTGCGTGATGTAATCATTGAGGATTTTTGCGCTGGTCTGAAGAGCATCGTTGATATTGGTACCTGTGGTGGATACCGTGGAAATCAATGTGAGGTGAGGTAGGTTGGATCAGAGGTGGGTATTCAGCTGGTTCTGATCGGTTCTGGAGAACCGGTAGTGGAAATTTTGAGTAGTTCAGAGAACCAGCCAATCCCACTACTGACTGGCCCCACCCCCATCTATTCTATGCCTCCTGAGTCCTAGCTGATTGGCTGGGTCTTCTTTTGTTGCCCTGCACAGGAGAACAGAGCTGGAAAGCAGGTTAGTGAGGTGGGGAGGGAATGGGATTTTGCAGTAATCTTCCCCAGTCACTCCCACTAAGCCACACCCACCAAGTCATGCCACACCCACCAAGCCACGCCCACAGAACCAGTACTAAAAAAAATTGAATCCCACCACTGGGTTGGAGGTGTCCAGTTTTCATCAAGTAGTTTAGAAATGTCCAACCTTGGCAACTTTAAGACCTGTGGACTTCAGCTCCCAGAATTCCCCAACCAGTAATTCTGGGAGTTGAAGTCCACAAGTCTTAAAGTTGCCAAGAGGGGACACCCCTGAACTAGATCCTTAGATAAGATTGCAAAATTGATCTTAACGGGTTGCATTTAGACATGACTGCTTGGAAAGTTTGTAGACTTCTTAGAAATACCCAAATTTACTACAACAGGAGACAAGATTCCATGCCTTGGGATTCCATGCCATACAAGACATATACAAAAAGAGGCAGATCCAGAAGATTTTCAGTGCTGTTACAACAGCACCAAATAACAACGATAGGGGCTGCTAGAAAAGCAAAAAGTAGAATCTTATACCTCAAGGAGAAGGGGAGGAGGAGGAGGAGGAGGAGGAGGAGGAGGAGGAGGAGGAGGAGAAAAAGAAGAAGAGGAGGGGAGAAGGAGCGGGGGAAGGAGGAAGAGGAGGAGGAGGAGTGGCAGCTCTCCCAAATGAGCTCTCCAGCTCAGAAAAGTTGGGTAATTTCTTGCCAAACTGGGAGATGATGGGTTCTAGTCCCACTTTAGGCATGTAAGCCAGCTGGGTAACTTTTGAGCCAATTAATAGGAGGCACTGAGTTCCACTCCTGCCTTAGGCATGAAAATCTGCTGGATGACTTTGGGCCAGTGCTAGGAGACTGATGGTTCTAGTCCCACTTTAGGCATAAAAGCCAGCTGGGTGACTTTGGGCCAATCACCAGGGGAAAGTGAGTTCTAGTTCCACCTTAGGCATGAAAGCCAGTTGGGTTTCTGTCTTGGCCCAACTCATCTCATAGAGCTGTTATTGCAGGGAAAATAGGCAAAAGAAAGAGTATTAGGTATGTTCACCACCTTATGTTCTTTCTAAAAATAGGGAAGGTGAGATATAATCAATCAATCAATCAACCAGCAATAAGATTACCTTCATTAGGTGGTACGAGATGGATGTGGAAGATTGCATCTCGTATATTTTCAGGAGTAACAGGCACCAACTGCTCTTCCTTCCAGACCTTGATTTCATTGGAGAAGCCAATAATGTTGAAATGATCTCCGGGCCGGAGGTCATGGAGGATGGTGAACAAGGCCTCTCTGGTCTGGAATGAAATGGAGGGAAGTGTTAGGAATCTGTCCACCAATTAGTTGGGTTGGCAATATATAAACCAACAATGTATGTTTGCAGCTTTAAGACAAAATCACTGTATTGATTTATACTATATTCCGATTGGTTGATTATATTGCAAATTACCATAAGAGGGAGCTAGAGATCGTAGCTTGCTCTCTCTGACATTCTGTCTCTCTGACATTCTGTTGTTATCTAAGGTTCTCTGTTGTATTTATGCTGTGCTTATACTTTGATATTTTTGTTTACTGTAAATGACAAAGGCAACTGGTAAGAAGACTTTGTAATTGGATATTCTTTGGACTGTAAAACGTATATGACCTGGACCATTTATTGGACTGTGCTATTTTTTAAAGTGAACTTTAACTCAATTTAGTGTATCTGTGTGTGGCCGAATAATTATTCATAACTACTCTCATAAACGTTTCCATGTGCATATCCTTGTTACTCAAGGGTTATTCTGTACATATCATAACAGGAAGCCAGTCAAGGGAGCATTGGTGTGGTTTATACAGTGGGCTGGTTAATCCCTGTGACACCATGGATTTATGATCATCCAAGGACAAGCTACCACCAATCAAACACATGACATGGGTTGTATGTGCTTTCTTATAGGTGCACGACAGTGGACTGCAGCAGAGGTGGTATTCAGTAGGTTCTGACCAGATCTGGAGAACCGGTAGCGGAAATTTTGAGTAGTTCGGAGAACCGGCAAATCCCACCTCTGACTGGCCCCGCCCTATCTCTTCTCTGCCTCCCAAGTCCCAGCTGATCGGCTGGGTCTTCTTTGGTTGCCCTGCACAGGAGAACGGAGCTGGAAAGCAGGTTAGTGGGGTGGGGAGGGAATGGAGATTTTGCAATATCCTTTTCCCAGGAGTGGGGAGGGAAATGGAGATTTTACAGTATCCTTCCCCTGCCATGCCCACCAAGCCACGCCCACTAAGCCATTCCCCTGCAACACCCACAGAACCAGTAGTAAAAAAAAAATTGAATCCCACCACGGACTGCAGCCCAAAACAAACAAGGGGCATCCCATCATATGCAAAAGTAAATTGAGCCAAACAATTTATCCTTTGCAAAAAGATCTACGCATCTACATAGCATAGCGGAAAGTCAAGTAATCTTCAGAGAGTATGTAGGATCAGGAATGAGGAACCTTGGTCCTCCGGATGTCGCTGAGTTCGGTGGGCTTGGTTTCACCATTTGAAGGAATGAAACAAGGGTCTCAAACGGCAGTGTCAATGCTAAAGCTAGCCTGACAGAGGCCATCTTGGAGGCTTCAGTGTTGCCACAATGATGCTGAGGAATAGGAAGGGGGGAATAGAGATTGCTGGGGTTTTGTAGCCAAAACAAAACAGTTTCCCCCCTGAGAACCAAGGACATTTTCACAGGTGGCTGGAAAGAGGAGTGAAGTTTCCAAGCAACCGGACAGCCCCTTGATTGGACCATGTGGCTGATTGTTTGGGAAAGGGGGAAAAGCTTTTACTTTTAATTAGGTGAAAACCACAGGAACCTTTAGAGTCGGTTTTCAACAGCCTGTTCCGATATGATATGTCCAATAAACCTGCTCTTTTCAGGAACCCGTTTCAACCTATTACTTGAAACCCTGACAGGCAGATGCTAAGAGCAGTAAGGATAGCTTTCTGGTTGCTTCTTCTAAACCAGGACTGCCAAACTCGTCGCCCGCAGGCCGGATGCATCCTGAGCTGGCCAAGCCCATGGCCAGTTTAGCAAAGGGGGGAAAAAGTCATGATACATCACCTGATGATGCCGTGGCAATGCGAGTTTGACACCCCTGTTCTAAACCAGAGTTTCTCAACCTGAAAATGGGTGGACTTCAACTCCTAGAATTCCTCAGCCAGCCATGATTCTAAACCATCAGGGGATGCCCCTTCTTGGAAGACATAACCATTGTCTTACATTGCCTCAGTGACCTTACACTTCCATGAACCCAAGGTAACGTGACTAATAATCTCAAATTATTACGAGACGTGGTGGCGCATTAGTTAGAATTCAGTATTGCAGGCTAATTCTGCCAGCTGCCAGGAGTTCGATCCCGACCGGCTCAAGGTTGAACTCAGCCTTCTATCCTTCTGAGGTGGGTAAAATGAGGGCCCAGATTGTTGAGGGCAATAGGCTGACTCTGTAAACTGCTTAGAGAGGGCTGTGAAGCACTATTATGGGAATTCTTTTCCAATGTCTGCAGGTCTACAGAGCCCCCTGTTCTGTAAGGAAACGGGGACATTCATACTGCGAGGGAGCCACCATCAATTTTATATTTTATGGATTTACCAGTGATTTTCAGATTCAGACCATGATTAAAGAATCTAAAATTCAGTCTGACATTCAGGCTAACATCCTATCTGCAGTTCATCTATCTTTACAGAACCTGGTCACCAAACCTCTATTTCACTCCCATCAGGCTGGTTGTCAGTTGTCACAGGTGCTACATAGGCCTCTCACTAACTTCCTGCCTTCCCACCCTATTGGACTCCAACCCCCATCATTCCCTAGGACATGGGCTGGGGACAATGGAAGGTGTAGTACGAGCCATCAACGTGGGATCATATGGCTTGTCTTTTCTCATCTACACTTCAGCAATGTTGGACAGAGTGCCTCCCAATCAGGAGGCTGTGAGTTTGATCCTAGGTGGAGACAGATATTTCCCACTCTGGGCACGATGAGAATATAATTCCACTCTGGGCACGCTGAATATAATTCCACATCGGTGACAGGAAGGGCATCCGGCCAGTAAAACACTCAGCTCCATTCAGTTGCCCAGACTCCACCCTGCAGCGGATAATGGGCTCATTAAAAGAAGACGATGACTTCAGCAATGTTGGACAAAAGAGCTCCACAAGGGAATGAAGCTAATTCTTGATTCTTCCTTTCTGCTGTCAGGAGAAGAATTTTTTTTTTTTTTTTAATGTAATTGAAAGGGAAAGTACCATGCGGAATCTGACCTAAAAGGTATATATGTTATGTAGTTGCTAGGAGAGTATTATTATTAATTTTTCAGGCGACAATTAAAAGTTAAATGATTATCGGGATTTAAAGGGGAGTTAATTAAAGGATATATAAGCTTCAGGGGTGGCACACTTACATGAGTAATTGTGGGGGGGATTTTTTTTTTTTTTTTTGAAATGTTTGAATTAGAATTTGTGAAACGATGAAATAAGAATATGCGATGAAATTGCAAACCTGACAGATAAAAGTATAAAATGAATATGAAGATATGAGAGTTATTGAAAGTTTAAGTTGGAGGAAAGTATTTGAAAAAAAATAATAATAGAAAGTATGTAAAGTATTGGTAAGATAAGAAATTAAATGTGAAAGATGAGTTTGTAATCATAGTCATGCTTGCATGAAATGTGAAAACCTGGAATCAAGCTGTTCACTAAAAAGATACGTTTTTCAAATGTGGAAAGCTGAAATAAAATTTTATTAAAAAAAAGAAGACCAAAAAAAAAATTTTTTTGTATCACAAAGATAAATTTGGAGAAGATTGCAGAGATTTTGTTCCCTTGTAATCGTGCACGGAAATTAGGAACATCATGATTAAACACATTATCCACCGTAGTGGAATTCAGAGTCAGTTTTCCAGCTGGTGGCCTTGCTATCACATCCGAAAGCTATTAAGGCCAAGGTTTTATTTATACATTTTTTTTAGTTCTGGTACAGATGAGATAAAGGGGAATACCCACCCCTTGACCCCAGACCCAGGCCTTTGAATTAAAATTCATACTTGTGGCAGTTAGGTGGCCTTGAATTATTTGTTGTTTCCAATCTCATAGTCCCTTTTGTTAAAGAGGGAACAGCTGCGATATTTTCCATTATCTCTAAGCCAAAAATTTCAGAGTCTCTGGCCAAACTTGGTTTTTGAATGGCTTGGCAGGATTTATGCTCCACAAAAGTGAAAAGAACAAGAGGAAGGGAGAAACGCAAGCTAATGTTATCTTTAATGGAAAGGCAAGCAAATTGATTATTATTATTTTTTACTCAATGGATTCAACTATTGGTAGTGAAACGACTTACAGCCGCAATTGAGGCCAAAATGTTTATTGCTAAGGGAGGCAGTTGTTAAGTGAGTTTTGCTCCATTTTATGACCTTTCTTGCTGCTGTTGTTAAAGGAATCACTGCAGTCAGTGGTGGATTTAAAAAAATTTCCTACCAATTTGGAGAGCTTGCTTGTTTTTTAGCTCAGCTGAGGCACGGCAATCCACTCTCCACGCAAATCGGCTGAGATAATAACAAAACAGAATATAGGAGAGGTAAGGAGAGGGGCAGGTGCGCGGGCCCAGCCAGAGGTGGTATTTGCCGGTTCTCCAAACCAGTCAAAACTTTTGCTACCGGTCCATCAGAACCGGTCCGAACCGGCTGAATACCACCCCTGACTGCAGTTGTTAAGTAATTAACACAGTTGTTCGGTGAATCTGGCTTCCCCGTTGACATCGGCTTGTCAGAAGTTTGCAAAATATGATCACATGAACCCGGGATATTGCAACTGTCATAAATTCATGCCAGTTGCCAAGCATTTGAATTTTGATCACATCATCGTGGGGATAAACGCGAAAAGTGGTAACTTTAATCCGTGCTGTTGTAACTTTGAAGAGTCACTAAATGAACTGATGTAAGTCAAGGACTATCTGGATGTCCTAGATCCGTGATGGCGAACCTTTTCCACGTTGCGTGCCAAAAGTGTGCTCGCATGCGCTCGCATGCGCTCATGCACCTGTACCCGTGATGCAATGCGAGCACGACTCCCCACACCCCCTGCGCATGTGTGGATGACCCCCCCGTACTGCATGCCTCTGCGCATGTACGCGCATCTCACACACACGCATCTCCCCCAACGCATGCGCTGCAGAGACCCAACAATCAGCTGATGGAGGGAGCATGCGCATGTGTAGAGGGGCTCTTCCGGGTGACCTCTCACGTGCCAGCAGAAGTGGCTCTGCATGCCACTTCTGGCACGCATGCCATAGGTTCGCCATCACGGTCCTAGATTCTGAAAAATCTCTCCCTTGTGTTACAATCAAATATTACAATTATTTTGGGCGATTTGATTTAAATGGAGGCTGTAGACATCATTCCAGTTCTTCCATCATTGGAATTCACCATCAATCTCAGTTTCAAAAGGCAGTTTTCCTGAATAAAAACCTTCACACCTCTTCTTCTCGTCTAGTCCCCCCCTTTTTTTCCTCCTTTAATCACTCTTTTCTCAAACTGCCATTTAACTTCCCCTTGTTGATGATCGAAACTCTGTCAAGGATCTTGGAGTACTCATCTCTAATGACCTAAGTGCTAGAGCCCACTGTAACTACATAGCCAAAAAGGCGTTAAGAGCTGTTAACTTAATCTTACGTAGCTTTTTCTCTGGTAATATTACACTAATAACATTTAACAGCATACAAAACATTTGCTAGACCAATACCTGAATACAGCTCATCAGTCTGGAACCCACATTACATATCGGATATTAACACAGTTGAGAAAGTCCAGAAATATTTCACAAGAAGAGTTCTCCACTCCTCTACTCGTTGCAGAATACTTATGCCACCAAACTCGAAATTCTAGACCTAGAAAACCTAGAACTATGCTGCCTTCGGTCCGATCTAAGTATATTATATAAAATCATACATTGCAATATCCTACTTGTCAATGAATACTTCAGCTTCAACCATAACAACACAAGAGCACACAATAGATACAAACTCAAGGTTAACCGCACCAAACTTGATTGCAGGAAATACGACTTCAGCAACAAGAGTGGTCAATGTCTGGAATACTCTACCTGACTCTGTGGTTTCTTCCCCAAACCCCAAAAACTTTAACCTTAGACTGTCTACTATTGACCTCACCCCTTTCCTAAGAGGTCTGTAGGGGGTGTGCATAAGCGCACCAACGTGCCTACCGTCCCTATCCTATTGTTTCTTTTATTTTTCTTATATGTATCCATATAACTATGTTTTTACTTGTACCTATTATCTTGTAAGCAATTGTCAAACCAAAGAAAGAAAGAAAGAAAGAAAGAAAGAAAGAAAGAAAGAAAGAAA